GAACCATAAGCTTATCAACATGATCCAAACCAAAACTGGTTTTCCTTAAAATTCAATCGAATGGATTGACATTTGATATGTGGAGCTCAAGAGATAATTTTCAGAATGTGCAACAGGTATTACAACAGACATCAAGAGCAAGTAACAATGAACAAACCACGTGACTTGAATGCAGCAATATGCAATTTCACTGCATGTTATTGGTAAGCAAACCAACAAAAAAAATGTTCTTTTCCCCTAACTGGTTTCATGTCTTCAGGCACTGCACACTATACACACTTTATAGCACAAAATTACTCTAAGCGTAATTATGTAGTCACATTGATGGAAAATTGTTGCTAGACTGTTATAACCTGTTAACAAATTTTACTCTAGATATAAAAACAGAAATGTACGGCAAAACAATTTGGCAGTAAGATTTCTTTACTATCAAATAGAAATGTATACTATATTTTGAAGTAATTTATACAAAAGGAAAACATGTATTCATTTAAAAGAGATGACTTTGGCTGTAATTTTGTTTTAAAGTGCAATTCGCAATAACTTTACCAAAACGCAATATTAATACTGTTCAAATGGAACAACTATTGCACATCCAACAGTTTAATAATATTTTGAAATAAGGCAAATGAGAGCAGCATGGCGAAACAAGGTTTTTACTTTTTATTTACAAAGGCCAAAAGGTCATAATCATTACGGAAAAGGGTATTCTTGATATGCAATTTAAGAATTTACTAATTATTTAGTCCAAAATCTAGTAATACCACAGCCAAGTCTACAAGTTCTAGAACATCAAGATACACTAAGATAGATACAGAAACTCTGGGGATCAAATTCAACATTTTAGTGTCATTAACAAGCAATAATCAACTTTGCAATTTCCAAGAAAAATACACTACAGTAATGGGGGTCATCTAGCCCAACATCTGACCAAATATTTTTCAGTTAGAATGCTAATTTAATTTGGGCAATAGTAATTTACAAGTTGAATTTCTCCCATTCCCACTATGAATAACTTGGTAATGCAAGTCAAAAGTCAACATACCTGCAGATCCTACATCATGCAGCATACAGAAATGAAAATGCAACACCATAATACAGTGGTAAGAAACAACGCAAAGAAAATGAACAGTTTTATTATAGGTAACTCAGTAAATGTAAAGCATGGATTCAATTAAGGGCCTCAGTGGGTTGAACTAACACTCTGATGTCATCTGAACCCTGTTATTTGCTCTACTGTTTTGCAATTAATTAAGACACAGCTTAGTGACAACACAGAACAAAAATAGATATTATCAAGTTTTTACAAGATCTACAGTTCAGTTCTCAGTCCACTTTAATCAGTTGCAAAAGAAACTCTGGAAAAAGTGGAAAAAGCTCTAAGATTGCATTCAATTTCAATTAGTTTGCGCAATAGAGATATTTGATGACAGCTATATTTTCAGCATTTCTTAATATATTCAAGTTACATTTCAGCTCTCATTCTAATTTAGTCTGTTGTCACACAAATATATTGTGTTCTTTCAATGCGATGTACGTTGCTACACACCAAGAAATTCTACCTAGTCGCAGTCTCAGAGGAGGAAATACCATCCATCCTGTGGGGGGAAATCACACAATCTTTGCAGTGGCCCAGATGTGCAGTATATTGTTTTCAATGTTTTCCACAAATTAAGATATTCGAATACACTGTTCCACCACAAACTCCAAATCTTGGACAGTGGAAATTATTATGGGCAGCTTCCCATCAGGATGAAACCATTGTAGTTTTTTTTAAATACAGATTCTAAAGTTCTAGTTAGAAAGGCATAGGTACCTGTAATCGCATCAGAAATAGAACACATAATTGGGGGGGGGGGGAGAGAGAGAGACAAATAAAAGAAAGAAAAGTTTGCCCCTAAGTATTGGGAATTAGCAGCTAAACATTCACATCATCTCTTTCGATGCCTGCACCCCAAATTCTCTCCACATGCTTACCAGCTGGTAGGAATATTCCAACATTTAGGATTTCTAAAATGTTCTACAAAAATTGATACAATATTAAAAAATTGAACTAGAAGTTTTAAATACTTACAAAAAATTCAGAGTGTAAGCATAATAATCATAATAGCATTTGATATAGCGCTTTTCACGTCTTCTAGACGTCTCAAAGCGCTATACTGTAAAGTGAATTGACTGTATATTTGTGGGCGAAACGCAGCAGCCAATTGCACACAGCAGTGTCCCACAAACAGTCATGGATTGAAGTAACCAATTTATTATAAGCAACATGCATAACAAGAACACTTCTCATATGCTGAACATTTCCTGTATTCCTCTGATATTCCAAGATGTACAGTTCCTAAAACCCTTGGTCAAAAGTTTCAGAAGTCTACTCCATTAAACTTCAAGAGCAAAATTTGTGAGGATCTGAAACATTGCAATTCTGGAAAATTCCAATTCCCTTATCCATCCTAATAGTTAAATGGATAACAGAACTATCACTTAATTTAGCAGTTAAGTCTAGAAAACTGATTCACATTTTGAAAAATAAAAAGCTTTACTTATGGTTATGCAAGCGTCATTTTAAGGCAGTTTAAACAAGAACCCATCCAGTAGAACGAGTACTGTAATAGTTGAAAACAATCCCAACAGTAACAGCTTCAACAATTGAGCGTCAACTGCTATCAACCCTTCAAAGAATGCCTACAGTACAGGTTAGGGCAACATAAACTCAACATAATCCTGATGGGCACATCATCAAATTTATACACCAGGAAGTACTTGTTATAGTAGCCATTTGCTACCCTGATACAAATTTCCAGTTCTCCCAAACCAGACAGGCACACCATGTTTCAATTTTTTTATTTCAACCTATACCTGTATTGAATACTACTGTTAAGTTTGTTCCTCACATCCCTTGGATGGAAAATTACAAACACAAAATTGATTTGCCTGCAAAATAGTCATTGCATTTTACAATATATCCTGTAAATCACTTTGAGCTGTCCCCCTGATGTGAATGGCACTATATCAAATGTAAGGATTAGTTATATAATCAGAATTATTTTATCAAAAAAGTCTTAAAATATTGCTTCCATATAGACACTAAATCAGGAAAAAATGTTTTGCATACATTTTCTTCCCATATATAGCTCCTTCTTCTGGCATTTCATCTTGGATTTTAGATGAAGGAAAAAGCTTTTGTGGAAATCTTCACTCATGTCAAGGACACCACATGGAGAGCCAGAAACTAACTCTAGCATGCAATTTTGAGAATAAAATGCCAATTTATTTTCCTCTAAGCAAGATACTCCATCCTCATTTAGCACAGAATCTGGCCACACCTCGTGATCTGGAGGAATCCAGAGAAAACGCATAATCTGAGGAGGGAATTTGCACATTGATTTTCCAATCTGCAGTGCAAGTTAGCACAACACCATCAAAGGGATGCATTAAAGTGCTTTGGTTGACCAAACCATTTCAGAAATTAGTGGCCACTGCACTGCAATTTGGTTCCACAGCCTCCCCAAAAATCACATCCTTAGTTATTGTAACTTAAACCTTCCCAGAAAGCAGGTTCAAAGCATGTTCCAAACCAATTCTGTGGTTCAGAAGGTAACCACTTCAAAGGAAGTGCAAAACCACAAAAAGTCAAAAATAGGAATTTCTGTGCCTAAAATTAGGTTTATAGGGAAAAAGTAATGTCAACTGCTTACTTAGACTTCTGTTAGATGGAAACACTTTAATAAATTACTACCTACTTATATTGAAAGGTTAGCTTCCGGTTTTGCCCCACGAGGGTGTATTTTGAGAAATTGATGTTGTTCAATGCAATCTCTATTAGTCATCACATGAACTTTTTTTATTTACATTTCAGTTCAAACAAAAGGAATCTGACTGGAATTATAAATGTGTATATATATAGTATATCATTAAAATAAAATCCCACTCAGTTCTTAAGACCCATTAAATTGCATTGCAAATATGAGTTGCATTAATTACAACATTTTGCCCATTACATATTCTACGTAGCAGTAGAGGTCAAATGACTAAACTGGGACATCCGGTGCAGTATAGAAAAGTAGGTTAATTCACTGATAAACTCCCCTAACCATTCATTTTATTATTTTAGGGAACAAGAGCAATGTGGGACATGTTTAAGGAACTTTCTTTGGATTTTGAGAAAAAAGTGATATCACAGTTTTTAAGCAACTCTTCTAACATAATTCTTCCATTTGATACACCGCCTTAAGTTGTCCTTATGTCATCCAAAAGACTCATAACTTTTATGTGGATTTGTAGGTGAATGCAGCAGCCAATTTGCACACAATGACCTACAAACAGCCATGAAGTAAATGGCCTATTTTTTTTCTCTGGAAGATTGTTGGCCAGATCAGGAGAAACTCCCTTCTCTTTTCAACAGAAGTGCTATGGGTTCTTTAACATCGACCTGAAAAGCAGGAGGACCTTGGTTTAACATTTCATGTACCTGTACCCCATTTAAATACTGGATACAAGTGCAGCAAAAGGTTCAAGTTCATAACGTGACTTATTTAGATTAACTCACTGCCCTCCCCTCGAGTTTCCTTGTCACAGTTTAACTCCAGAGAATAGACACTGATATCGGAAATATTAACCACAAAACGTTAATATTACAATTCTGTTTGTACGGTCATTCTAAACTCCAGAGATTTTAATGATTAAAATCTGTGTTATATATTTAATTTATAGTTTGACTATTCCTCCTTTATTCCCTGCAGTTCACAAGCAGAATCGTTAAGCAACAAGTGGCTCGTACCATCGGAAATCGTTTGTTGCCTGCGCTGCAGGATGCTCAGGGTCGTTAAAAATTAACGGTTTTGAAGTAGACAAAAATGCTTCAAGGTGAAAAAGCCAACAAAGCTGCCCAGAGATACAAGGAAACCTTTTAATCCTTCTCCCTGAAGTGGTGGCGCCATAAATCCTAGACGAGTGCGAGTTAAATTGAGAACATTCTTGAAAGATATGCACACACGTACCTATTAAAGCCTGGAAGAGGTTGCTCTGGAAAATATTGATAACCCTCTCGATAGATATGCGGAGCTGGCGGTCCTCGGTCTTGCCGAGTTTGGTACGGTAATCCTCCAGGAGCTGCAGAGCTCGCTGAGCATCTGAGAAACGAAGCGAAGAGAGAGAGAGAGAGGCAGGGTGTGGGCAAAAAGGGTGGCACGGTTTACAATTAAAATCAACACGAACCTAATGCAAAAAAAACACACGAGCATCTCACGGGTTTAAGGCACCAAACGGAATTACAGACTCGCAAGTTATGGGAGAAAGAGATGTATGTATGTATGTAGCCCGTCTCCAGCGTTTAAACCAACTCGAATTTAAACCAACACAAAGCATTCTTGCGCTCCAGCAGCACCGAATCACTTTCGACTCGCAAAACATAATTCAGTTGGGTAAAGTACGAAACGCAATCGGTTTTTAAACATGCAATCTAGGCGTTCCTTAAATACTTTATGCATTCATATGCCTGTCAGGTCAAATCAGTCATTCTGAATAAAATAGGTACCAGTTAAAAGGAAAGAGTTAAAAAGCTGCAGAAGTTTCCACCCCCCCACACTCACCTTGCTTTCGGACTGGCATTCTTCTGGTGGGAGATTTTGCCCTACAGGTCTGTAATTTCCCTTAGTCAGAGAAGTTCTGAGAAGTGTTTTCCTTTCAAACAAAGTTGATTCTTCCTTCTCTCGGGGGGGGAGACACACACACACACACACACAGTGAATGGTTAGTTCATTGCCTTCACGAAAGATCCTTTCAAAGAGGGTGAGAATTATTGTCAGAACTTCTGGTAGGATTCGTTCCCCTAATTTTTTTTCCCAACCAAAAAAAAGAGTCAGCCACAGAGTAAGCAGGTTATCCTCTTCCCCTCCGAGGGTGGTGGTGTGCAAGGTTTTGCTTTGAATGCTGGTCCGTCCTGGTTTTTCTCTCCCCCCTTTCTCCTTCGCTCTGTCTCAATCTCAAGTTCTCTCAAGGTGAACTCCTCGCGTTCCCGAGAGCTCTCGGGAGAGACGGTCCCAGACGGTTTCTCTTGGCTCTGTGAAGTGACTTGCAGTTTACCTCTGTCTCGGGTTAAACTGTCCTCTGCAGCCCCCGGGTCAGCACTACCCCAGCCTGCGTACCCCTCTCCAGGGGTAACAGCCCCCACCCCCCCAGCCTCGCTCTCTCCCTCCCTCCCTCCTTCCTTCTCTGTCCACCTCTCCTGAAGGTGACTTAATTTAGGAGTTTGTCCCGATCAGGAGCACTGACTGACTGACCCCCCCCCAACCCAACCCAACCCGGGCTCAAAGCCCCTGTCCGGCCTCTCCCACCCGCCCCCTGCACCAGCCCGAGTGCGGCTGAGGTTCAGTCGCTCCTGGGGGGAGTCCCCAGTCCCACTCCCTCCGTCTCCCTCCCTCCCCACTCACTCCCTCCCCCGCACAGATTGTCAAGACGCCGACACCCAGCGCCCTTTACACAGACGTGGAGGGAGGAGGAGGAGGAGGGGGGGGGTGGAGGGAGAGAGGAGGGGGGGGAGGGAAGAGGGAGGAGTGGTGGGGAGGGTGGGGGGGGAATTAAAAGAAAAAAAAAGGCCCCCTCCTCTCTCCCTCCACCAGGTGGGAACGTGTGGCGACGCCGTAAGGCAGTCCTGCGGCCCGACCTCGCCACCCACAAACTTTACTCGGCCTCCTGTCCCCGTCCGTCTGTCTGTCTGTCTGTGTCTCTCTCTCTCTCTCTCTCTCGGCGGCGGCGGCTCCCAAATTCCAAACTTTCCACCAAAATGGCGACCGGGCCCCTGGATACGGGCCACGTGACCGGCCGGCCGGCCAATCGGGAGTGAGCTTCCAGCAGGGAGCGAGGGGGCGGGGTCGAGGTGGAGGGGGCGGGGCCGAGGTGGAGGGGGCGTGGCCGAGGTGGAGGGGGCGGGGCCGAGGTGGAGGGGGCGGGGCCGAGGTGGAGGGGTGGTGGGGGGGGGGTGTGGGGGAGAGCTGTGAAGTTTAAAGGAAGGAAATGATCCCTTGTGTCCACTTGCTGCAGGGGGTGGGTGGGTGGGGGGGGGTTAGTGCTCTGTCTCACTCAATACCCACACCATTTATTTATTTGATTGATTGATTGATTTATTCCCCCCTCCCTCCTCCTTTCCTTCTAACTTCTCACTGCGACCCCCCCCCCCCTTCACCCACCCACCCTCTCTCTCTCTCTCTCTCTCCCTGTGTTATGCCACAAATATACACAGGGCAACACGTCGAGTTCCCAGACTGGGAAGCGTTTTCCTGCCCTACCACTTGCTTTTATAGAGTTCATACGTCAAGAGGAATGCAAACATTTTTTTAAAAGTTTTTTTCTCTCTTTTTTTATTTCTATTCCGGCTTCAATCAATCAATCAATCAATCAATCAATGCTTTTTTTTTTGTGTGTGTTTTTTTTAAAAATATATAACACAAGAGTTGCAAAAACTGGGTCGAAACTGATTTCTTTCTGTTCGTTGGCAGTGCACGTCGTCTGCTGTACGTTTCTTTCCTTTAGTTCTGCCATAACAAGGACGTGGGTTTCCCCCAAACAAAAATGTGCAATAATGCAACGTTAACTTTTTCTTTCTTTTTTTTCCGAAGACAACGTATAACGAATGCAAACTCGCCAGAAGTTTTGTGCACGTTTGGAAAAAATCGTGTGTGTGTGTGTGTGTGTCCCCCTCTCCCCCTCTCCCCCTCTCTCCCGCCGATTCATTTCTCAAATCAGTCCTACGATCCCTGAAATAAAAGGAGGAGACGGACCGAAAGCAAATCATCAGAACGAAAGCGAAATAATCTGCGGAAAAAGTCTGTCATCTTTTGCGATCGCGGAGAACCCGAGTGCACACCGTCAAAGGGGGAGCAAACCTGTACGTTGTGCAAAACGAAACAACGAAATTGCTTGTGTTTTGTGTGCAGATCGCCTGTTTTTGCCTGTTTTTTGGCTCAGGTGTTTTGCAACTCAAAACTGACGACAAATCCCTGCAAAGGAAACGCACGCAGTTTTTTTTTAATTGAAAATGGCCCTGTTGCAGCGTAATCCGAGGGAATCCATCTGTAAAATATTTTGTCCGATTGTGGATACCATTCTTACAGCTGTCAGTCTGTCTGTCTGTCTGTGTCTGTCTGTCTGTCTGTGTCTGTCTGTCTGTCTGTCTGCACTGTTGCACATCACGACACGCACTCTCTCATCTGTTCGCTGCTGCTTCGTACGTACGACTCATCCCAATACGTGGGTACAGTTACACGGCTGTGGATCCTCAGCACATTGTGTTACGAGACACTTTTATTGCCCCCCCGATCCGGGGTTGAAAATCAATCTGCTCGCAGCTGTGAACGACGGAAGCAGGAGGTGGGGGGGGCAGCAAAGCAAAGACCAGATGGTTGCCATCGCACCCCCTTCCTATTTGCGTCTCGTTCGGATGATCGATGGAAGGACAAGGGAGGTGTTTAGCTCTCTACGTGTTGTTCAAAGGGTGGGGGGGGGGGGGGGGGGTGTGTGTGGGAGGATGGGTTGGGGGGTGTGGGAGGATGGGTTGGGGGTGTGGGAGGATGGGGTGGGGGGGGGTGTGGGAGGATGGGGTGGGGGGGTGTGGGAGGATGGGGTGGGGGGGGGTGTGGGAGGATGGGGTGTGGGGGGGGTGTGGGAGGATGGGGTGGGGGGGGGTGTGGGAGGATGGGGTGGGGGGGGGGTGGGAGGATGGGGTGGGGGGGGTGTGGGAGGGTGTGGGAGGATGGGGTGGGGTGTGGGAGGATGGGGTGGGGGGGGTGTGGGAGGATGGGGTGGGGTGTGTGGGAGGATGGGGTGGGGGGGGTGGGAGGATGGGGTGTGGGGGGGGTGTGGGAGGGTGGGGGGGGTGTGGGGGAGGATGGGGTGGGTGGGGGAGAATGGGGTGGGAGGATGGGGTGGGGGGGTGGGGGAGGATGGGGTGGGGGGAGTGGGGGAGAATGGGGTGGGGGGGGTGGGAGGATGGGGTGGGGGGGGGGGTGGGGGAGGATGGGGTGGGGGGGGGGGTGGGAGGATGGGGTGGGGGGGGAGGGAATCCACGACCTGATGCGCAATTCCTGGTTTGAATTGAGCAGTCTCGCCATGAGGCATCCAGGAACATTGCTCAGATGCATTACTGTACCTGTCTGAGATGTGATGTGATGTGAGGCGCAGCTGGTTGCAGGTTTATTATTATTATTTTATTATTATATTATTATATTCTTGAAGGTGCGGTGATCGGCACCGTTTCGCGCCAGCTGTACGCATAACGTGCATTTCAAAATAAATGTCTCAACACTCGAATGCAGCGAAGAATTGCAGCATAATTAGGAGTGCCGGGCTTCCAATGAGACGTTCAGACGTGGTCCTTCTATCTAATTCTGGTGGTTGAGGCCTGTAAAGTATTGGCTAGAGCACTCACCTGGCAAGCGAGAGGACCTGGATTCGATTCCCAGGCAGGGCAAAACCTTAGGCAAGTTTCCTTACTCCACGCGCCTCTGTTTACGTAGGAAACCAGGTTGTTAGTCGATTGGCGGATCGCGTTTCCGGGGGTAATAATTCCTTCAAGAAATATTTAAAGAAAATAATAATTTGTCCACTCAATCCACGACTCTTTGTGGGACACTGCTGTACGCAATTGGCTGCCGCATTTCACCCACAAAAATAGTCAATTCACTTTACAGTATATTCTGTGAAGTGCTTTGAGACGTCTCAAAGAAGTGATATGGCACTTTTTCAAATGCGAGGATTATTATTATTGAGATGATTCCATGGCACTAATATATTTGGAAGAACATTAAATTCTCCCAGTGTGCTACAAATATTCCCCCTTCGTCCACATTAAAAAAAAGTCTCATTTTGTTGCTGTTTGTGGGCCATTGCTGGCATACATAAACTACACGTGTGACATATAACATTGTTACAGGAATAAATCAGGTCTGAAGGAGTTAAGTAAAATAAACTGCACTCGGAGAAATTACAACTGTTAAAATAATCCACAAACAGGGCATGTAAAGGTCAAAACAATAGAGATTCTGCAAAACCTTCTGTGTCCTTTACTCTTTACACAAAGCTCGATGTTAGTTGATAGGCCGGGTAATGCTTCTCAATCTGAAATACTTTATGTGGACGTGTGTTGCCTGCAGTACTAGTGATGATGACGTGTATGACAGCTGCACAGCATTGAACAGATTAATGAGAGGACCTGCATTCATTGGAATGCAGAACCTCTCCTGCCTCACCACAATCCATTCCATGTGGCTGTTCAGAGAAACTGTAACATAGAAAAGTAGTACAAGTCTGGATCATTTATATATATTAAATAGAGGTGCCCGAAAACTCCATGGAGGGGAAATCTGGTCGATCTTGTATGCTTGCCCTTTTATTTTGTTTATGAGATTTTTGCTGTCCTAAAGCTGTACTATTCATATTATGACCAGCGGGACACTTCCCTTCACCTGTGACCTTCAGAAGACTTACTGTCTTTGAGCCTCTATACGCAGCATGTTGAGTTTCAGGAATGTTCTTTCTCCTTTGTTCTCCAGAAAATCAGAGGAAGAGACTCTTGGATACCACAGAACAAGTGAATGTACCCTATTAGAGTGGGACACTGCTCTGCAAAGTTGGCTGCCGCGTTTCGCCCACAAAGTGTACAGTCAATTCACTTTACAGTATATTCTGTGAAGCGCTTTGAGACGTTTCGAAGGTATGATAAGGCGCTATATCAAATGCAAGGATTATTATTACAATTATAATAGCAAGAACTCCCCAATTACCTAAAAAGATACTGAGTTGCACAGTACTAAGCCATAGACTAGAAGGTTATGGAATTTAAGACTCAATCTTAGTCTGTGGAAAAGTATCATCTTCATAAGGTAGAATATAAGTCACATAAATGATCTCTGCAACCCATGGGATAAAGAGTTGCAAATTAGCCATGGTGCATTCTCTTGATCGCTATCGAGTTATGCTTGGTGGATATAAGATGAGGACATGGTCAAGAATGGCTAAGGTAATAATAATAATAATAATAATCCTTGCATTTGATAGAGCGCCTTATCACGTCTTCGAGACATCTCTAAGCGCTTCACAGAATATACTGTAAAGTGAATTGACCCCATAAAGTACAATAGCCTGCTGAATGGACACTCGGGTGAGATACCAGGACACAGCTTACTTCTGTGAAACTCCACCCAATAGAAGTCAGCATGGGGGAGAATATTGGTAAAAAGTTGAATGAACAAAAAAAGTGACATCCAAGTAACAAAAAAAATCCATTAACGTTGAATGTTACAGGATGCTTTTTTTTCTAAAAAAAGAATAAA